CACACACACACACACACACACACACACACACTCTTAATTACTTCTCTTCTGTGACAATGGAAGAACAGCCAACCCTCGCCCAGGTCTGGGGTGGGAGTTGGACTACAAGTCGTCCCTGATTTTTCTTTTTTTGTACCAGGGATTGAACCCCAGTGGGACACTTACCTCCCCACTTTCTTACTTGTATTTTCAGCTTTTATCTCTTTAATTCCATCAGCACTAAGCACCTTCCTGTGGCCCCATCCTGAAAAAAAAGTAAAGAACTTGGCTAGATTCCACCCTTTTGCTCTACTACTCCCTTATGTCTCTCCTTTCTTCAAACCTCACCATAGTCAACTGGACTTGCAGTCTGCACTGTCTTTTCATAGCGGTCTGCTTTATATCTCTGAGGCACACACCAAAACTGCTGTTGCCAGTGGTGCTAAGTGTTCCCAGTTGCTGGAGTCAAAGGGACACTCCCTCCTCCATGAGACATTTTCTTTGCCAATTTCCATGACACCCACTCTCCTGGTTTTCCTCCAGAGCTTGGACGATTCTTTTCCTCACTCCCTGTTTCTCCCTCGACAGCCTCATCCGTCCCTGTGGTTTAAGAAGCCACCCACAGGCCAGTAATTCCCAGCCCAGCTCTGCTCTCCGTCTCCTGTACTCTGGAGCAGTCTCTCACATTGCCTCCTGGAAATCAACACCAGAGCTCCCTCAAATGCAAAAGGCGCAAATCAAAATTAAGCTTTTTTTTTTCTCTCCTTAAAACCTGTTCCTCCTCTTTCAGCATGTGAGGTAATAGCACAGTTCATCTTCTTGTTAAGTCAGAAACCTATAATCCTGTCTCTGTATCATCTCTGCATTCAGTCAATTGCCAAGTATCATTCTGTCAGACTCATTTTCCCCATAAAACTCTGCCTGATGCTCACCCTTCTGTCTCTTCCAGAGCCTCTCACAGCAAACCCTTTCTCTCTCATCACAGCGTTTGTCACATGGAATCATATGCATGTATGACTTAATTGTATCCCTTATAGGCTAAGTTCCATGAGGGCAAAAACTTGGTCCTTTTCAGAGTTTCTATCCCCATCCCTAGCATATTACTGGGCATGTAACATATATTCACAATACATTTTAAATGGGTAATTTTTCTGTATAGCGTACATCTATCTCAGTTGATGTTGCCAGTTAGTCATTTAAAGAATCAATGATTCTGTTCGAATGGTCCACTTGAATTTTCAGCTCAGCTTACTTTAGGCGTGGTGGACACAAAACGTTAGCCAATCTCTTTCATCACTGAGCTCAATACAAAAACTGAAATTTTCTCGGGCCAAAACAAACAAAAAAGAACAGTGACTTCTCTTCCAAACAATAAATTTTGCAAGAAATGAAAATACAGTTGGCTTTGCCTTCAGTATACAAACACGCATTTAGCCCAAGGGTCTCTCCCTTCCCATTTTCATGTCTCTTGGGGGTTTGTGTTGCCTAATCCTGCTTCTCCTCACAAGTTATAAGCACAGATTCTGATCCTTGGCTTCTACTAGTGTTATCCACCATGTCTGCTCACTGAGCTTAGGAACTCTTTATTGAAAGCCCAAAAGTCCTTCTCAGGACCCAGTCTATAAATAACTTCAAAATAGACAAAATAATACTGAATTGTCCTAGATGGGCTGTGGTTGATCTTCTAGGGTCATCTGACTCTGTAGGGTCTGTGCCTTTCATTGTTCTTAACTAGGCAATTTGACAACTCTATAAATTGTAGATATCCAATAGCAGTACAAATCATACGTGTTCACAGGTATACAAATTATTTTTTCCTAGTATAAATGATTCTAAACATTACATTTTATTGCTTGGTAGATATTAACCAGTTACAAAATTACTAGCAAATCCATTCCTCGTTGCCTACTTTTATGTCTGTTCTTCAGAGCCTTCTTTGAAATGGTTGTAGCTTCTTTACTGGTTTCATCATTAGTTAATTAAGTAAAATCTTGAATGTTTATTTATTTTATACTTGTTTACGTACTTGTTTATGTTTTTCATGATTTTCCTTTTCAAAATTATACTTTAACTGCCTGTTTCTCATGAACAAAACATATTCAAGTATTCAAGATGTACTGAATACAACCTTTCTCCAAAAATGAACTATATCTGAATAATCAAAGAGCAGTTAGAATGGTTCCATCCTGGAGCACAGGCAAGACAAAGAATAAGAGCAATGTTTGAGTTAATAAAGGGGAATGAGAGGGACAAGATCATTCAATGGATTTATAGAATTTCCTTGAAGAACTGTGGGACATACGGTTTGATGGGTAGAGTAGGACTAGCATGTGGAGAATTTGGAATTCAGAAAGACATCTAGACCACAGTCCAAAACTCAACTAAAGAAGATACAGTAGGTTAATACTGAGCCTTAGGGTGTTTTATCAAATGAATTCTGTTGAATTAACAGTCTGTGAGTCACAGTGTCCTATGTGGTGGGTAAATTCTGGAGACAGATTTCTGGAACCCTTCTCAACTCCTGCAGAGTATCCTTTGAGATCAGAGACTTCCACATGAGAAGCCACTTCTAAAGGACCAGCTCAAGTCAGAGCCCTCTTAAGACACAACTTCTGGGGAATATCCTACTGGGGTCACTCAAGATGCCTGACACACCTTATAAAGTCAAGCTCCTCATGTCCTCAGAGTTCCCTTTAGTGACTTCTGGACTCAGTCGTGAGGGGAAGATCATTTGAGATTTTCTAGATCTTTCTCCCCGTTAGCCTAAGAACAATATATAGAGAAAAAAACAGTCACTGCCTCACAATATTTAATTCAAAATAACAGTAGAATTTAAATTGATGCCCAATTATTTTACAGATAATTAAACAACTTTTATTTAGTTCTGATGATATTCCCATATCAATATTCTATGCAAAGCACATAATTCTTTCACATGTCCTTCAAAATTAGATTAGGCTCTCATGGCTCTGGGGTCCTTCCACTTTAGGGGGAGGCCCTATCAAAGAGGCCCCTATTATACTTTATACTATTCTGTATAATTTATTCAGTGTTCTACGCATCTCACATTACCACCCCACATAACTTGTAACTCCTTGAACATAAGGACTATGTCATCATTCTAGACGAAGAGACAGCAAATCTCAACCCCTGGGTAAAAACCATTCTACTGCCTGTTTCTGTACAGCCTGAAAACCAAGAATGTCTTTTGCATTTTGCAATTTGTTGTAAAATAAATCAAAAAGAAGTCTATTCTTTTTTACTTTTAAGAATAATATAAAATTCAAATATCAGTGTCCATAAAGAAAGTTTCATTGGCACATAGTCATTGCTGATTTCATGCCACCATAGCAAGTGGAGTAATTATAACAGAGACTGGATAGCCATAAAGCAAAAAAATATACTTACTGTCTGGCCTTAAAAGAAAGTTTACAAGCCCCTGGTGCGGAACAAAGCTGTCCCTCCAGCACCTGAAACTTCCTAAGTGATTATTAATGTCTCCTGGAGTCATGATAAATGAGTGACTAGGAAAGAGCATGACTGGACAGACAGGAGGAAAGAATGGGACATAAAGTATGGAATATTTCACTGAAATCCAAGAGTAAATATGAAAATTGGAATCATTAGAATATATTTTGTGTTTCAGAGTCAGATGTGCAGTCTTACTAAAAATATCAACATGCATAACATGCATAACATCAACCTTGCATAACATTAATGATATGAGAGCTTTAACGGGGTAGGCGGGTGTGAAGGGGGCTCTATGAGAAATACAGAGTGCCCTGCCATGCGGATAGATCCATGGCAGGTATCATTCTCTTGGATTATTCAATAGAGTCAGTGAGACACTTGATACTCAGTCATAGAGCATATGTTAAATTAAAATCATAAATTATAAATACGGGTATGTGTGATCTTCCTTCCAACTCATGGAATTGAGAAAGCTGATATATCCGTGCACTTTGTCATTTCAATTTGTAGATTAGTAGCATTATGGAAAAAATAAATAGAAAACCAAGTACTAACAAGCACTGAACACTTCGTACTGAGGATAATCTTGTTGTCTTTCAGAACACAGGAAGAAAACAGGTTCCCTGGGCCTCTGGCCTCCCTCTTGGACACAAAGGGTGTATGAAGGCTGCTCCAATATGTCAGAGACTTCCTCCCACGACTCTTTCTATGATTCCTTATCAGACATGCAGGAAGAAAGCAAGAATGCTGACTTCTCCCCGGGGCTCTCTGCTTTTCTCAGCCAGGAAGAGATTAACAAGAGCCTTGACCTGGCCCGGAGAGCCATAGCCGACTCTGAGACAGAAGATTTCGACTCAGAAAAGGAGATCTCGAGAATTTTCAACACCTCTCCTGTAAGCCTCTGTGGAAATCCTCCCCACAAGGAGCCCAAATCGGGGGAGCAGATCTCCTCCAGAAAAGCCCAGGAGAACAGATCAACACCCGTCCAGCCCCTGGCAGAAGAACCAACTGAGACTGTCACCTCACCTGCTTGCAGGAGGAAGCCCACCATGTCACCCCTGCTTGCCCGCCCCAGCTATATCCGGAGCCTCAGAAAGGCCGAGAAGCGAGGTGGGAAGGCCCCCAGCACAATTGCAAAGCCCAAACCTGCACATCAAAGTAAGGCTGGGCCCCAGAGCCAGCTGTGCGACAAGGCGGCCAACTTCATAGAAGAGCTGACATCGATATTCAGAGAAGCGGCAAAGCCAAAGAACAGAAGCCCCAACGGGGAGTCCTCCTCGCCAGACAGTGGGTACCTGTCTCCCAAAAATCAGCCATCGGCGCTGATGAGCGCCTCAGCCAGCCAGAGCCCCACCGGAGACCAACAGGAGGCGGTCAAGTTCCCAGAGGCTAGCCACGGCCACCAGGCAGACCAGGACCTGGACCTGCCGTCCAGCACCTTCTCTCACCCACAGCCCCAAAAGGCACTCCTCTTCCCCACTGCACCCCGGTTCATCCAAAAGCTGAGGAGCCAAGAAGTGGCAGAAGGAAGTAGAGTTTATTTGGAATGCAGAGTCACTGGAAACCCAACTCCTCGAGTCAGGTAAGAAGTTTTTATTATGAAAATCCAATGATTTTATTGATGTTGGGGTTTCCTTTAATGTGGGAGGAGGAGAGACTTCCTGAGTGGTTAGCCCTTGGGTCACAGAGGTAGAGTTTTATTAAGTATCTGCAAGGCAAAGAGTCCCAAATTGCAGATACTGGTAGGACTAGGTGCCCCTGGGAGGAGATTTCTGTTGTCACAGACCATCTGGGCCCTTGACTCAGGGAAATGGTAAAGGACTCATACATGATAAAAGGAACACAAGCAGGTTGCTCTATCGGATTCTGGAATTAGTAGCAGCCAGGGAAAATTTTAGTGTGAAACTGACTTATCCCAAGTGTCATGAAGAGTGTGTATATTTGAAAATGAGTCACTGAAGATGAGCAAAAGTGTAGCTAAAGTTAGCAGTCGACCGGAGGTACAGAGATAAAAGGCAAAAGTGTGCAGAGGTCAACCATGAGATGAGCTCCAAAGAGATAATGCAGACCAAGGCCTGGAGGAAGTCAGCACATACTTGGAAAAGATAGGCACTGGAGCACCACGGGGCAGTTCTTCATGCACAGGCTCTGGCTACTGAAGCATGGGTGCCGCAAAAGGTAGAATGACATGGGTGTACCCTGGTCACTTTCATCTCACACCACCACACCCATTGCAATTTATATAAATCCCACCTCTTTAATTGCAGAGTTTATACCTTCTCCTGTGTAAAATGTTAAAGAGCAGGGCCCTGGAGTCATATGACAAGGCTTCTGATTATGACTACTTATACCAGCAAAGTCACTTTAGTCAAGTTTCTTTAGCTCTCTGTGACTCAGTTTCTTCATCTGCAAAGAGGCCATTCCAATAGTTATGATCTCATTCTATTTTATGGTGGTTGAATTAAAAATCATGTGAAAAAGAGTGCCGTATACCTAGTAACTGCTATATTAGTGTTACCTGTTATCTTGTTATTTCTTATTTCTGATTTTCACATGTCAAAATGCAAGCAGCATTTCAAGTCAGGATTATGGCATGCAAATTAACATTCATTCATTTAGTTTGCAAGTGTTGCTTTTATTAATGACAAATGCCTTACCTAAATTATGTATGTATAAAAAAAGCAAATTCAAAAGAATGTACTTTGAAAAAATGCTAAAGTAGACATCACTGGCTAAAAATTGAAACGATGGTATTTCCTTATTCTCTGTATATCATGAATCGCAAACTTTATACCTTTCACCCTATGTCTGCTAATCTGCACTTTCCTAGTGTGAGTTTCTTAGTTTTACAATTCATTGCTCCTAAGCATCAAGTAAGCCTCACAATTAGTGGTTGAAAACTTGTATAATGGGAGGCAGGCAATTCTTTTTTCCCCAACCAATTTGTTCAACCTTGTCAGTTTTTATAGTCATTTTTGCTCTATTTCTTTTAGAAACTAACAGCAGAGGGCAGTAAAAAACTTGTTAATCTATTCATTTAATTAGCTATGTTATTCTAAATTCTGTATATGTTTTCCATAAGAATTTATTTTTCTTATCATTTTGCCTCTGATAAAAATAAAATTGAGTATTTCTTCCAGATTCTATTAAGGTTTTTAAAAACCTCCCAATCTTGAAAAAAATAATTATTCATTAGAAATATACTCACATGTCACTCAAAACAGTTTCACAAGTTTTCAAACTACATATGGTTCCATCTATATTTACTTGCAAAACAGCCACTTCCAAAAGTGTTACCATGTCAAAAAATGACAAAAAGCAATTCATTTATCACCAAAGTATGACTTCAAGTGAGCAGACCATAATTTCTGTGTTAAAATTTACTTTCATCATTTGGTAATTCTAGGAGCCATCGAAATCATGCTTCAGTCTGTTTTCTCAGGGCAGTGGAGTGCTAATTTACCTAATAGCTACAGTATTATTAATTAGTTTTCTCTGTCTCCCAGCATACCAAAGTCAATGGCTAATATTTATTAGACATTGCAAACTGTGCCCTTCTAGAATCACTAAGTCTTTGATAAAATGTTCCATTATTTAAAGTAAGCTGTATTTTTTGTATCCTTTAGAGTTAGTTTTGGATCGGGTTGGTTTATTTTGGTTTGGTTTGGTTCCGAGAGAGAGTATACATGCACATTGAGTTTTCTTTTTGGATTAATTTATTTTATTGGTGCATAATAATTATTCAGAATAATGAGATTCATTATGCCACATTCATACGTGTATATAACATAATTTAATCCCTCTCATTCATCAGAACCTTCTCTTTCCCTCCCCACTGAGATTTCCTAATTTCTGTTGCAAAGATTCTTGGTTATCTCTGTTGTTTATTTGTACATACAGCAAATAACTAAGGACATTGAAGTCTTTTGGCCACATGAGACATCTAACAGTCTTAAGAGAAAATCTTCTTTGAAGGAAATTTTGTGTAAGGAAGAAAACTTATAAAGAGGACCTACACTGGAGCTTTAGAATCTGGCTCAGGCCCCAGACATTAGAAAGATCTGTTGGACAAGCAGGTCACCTCCTAAAATCCCAGGAGCAGTTGACAGAGTTGTGGAGAGGCAAGGGTACGTCAGGAGAATCTGGAACAAGCAATAAGCAGGGTCCCAATAGATTCTGGTTGGTAAATGTAGAGACATTCAGTGTTGGGCAGTCTGCAAGTGAAGAGCTCAGGAGTTGAGTGATGGGCCAGTGGAACAGTTCAGTGTTACTCTAAAGGAATACATCCCAGATGATTATGGCAGAGGGTGCCAGGATCCAGATGCAGGGAGTGAAGCATTGGAAGAAATAACCCTTCAGGAGTTCAGGCAAGTGAAAGCCAGGACTATAGCTTCAGAAGAATACAAGAAAAGGGCAGGAAATATAGACTGAGTTCTGATGAGATGAGGCAAGATTTTAGAGACTAAATTTGTGCTGGGCCCAGAATAGGAAAGCAGACTGCTAACTGACATAGCTAGGTTACTAAGCTGCTACCCAGAAAGCCTTACATTTGGCCAAAATTGAGACTATTTGGTCCAGAATCCAGGGCATAACCAAGCTAATACGTATAGATAGGAGGAAGAGAAAATGTAATGAGAAGCCAGGCCAGACATTTGAAGGAATTTCTACCTTATATACAGCCACCCACTCTTCCATATCATGCAAATACTCGTCATAACCACAAGCAGGACAGTAAAAGAGTTTTCTTTATTCATTCTTGAATATCCAACAGAATCTCAACAAAAGAGAGAAGAGCTGGTGGATAATAATTGAAGTTATATGCATTTAGGTTATATTCAAATGATATGAAAATTATTTGTTAACAATTTGAATTATCACTGTAATGTTAATATGAATTGTCGACTTGATTAGATTAAGAGATGCCTAAGTTAAGAGTCTTCTGGGTGTCTCAATGAGGGTTTTCTAGAAATGATTGGCATGGGGGACAGAAAACTGAAGTGGAGACCCACCCTAAGTGTGGGTAGCACAATCCAATAGGCTAGAGGCTTAGATGGAACAAAAACTGGACGAACAAGGAAACAGAAGCAGACACAAGCTCAATGCTTCTTGAACGGGTTCGTGATTGCCACTGGAATTGCCCAAGGACATCAGACTCCAGCTCTTTGCCTTTTTCAAAGCAGATTCTGACCAGTGACTCTCCAGAGAGTTTCCAGGCCTTCAGTCCTGGACTGGGGGAAACTTGTTGATCCCTCTTGTTCTGAGGCTCCAGTTTCTGGGACTGATTAGCTACTGGTTCCTCCAGCTCTCCAGCCTACATACAGCCATTGTGGACTATCCAGCTTCTAGTTGTATGGGCCAATATAATAAATACCCTTCTTATAATTATATATATATATCTATATCTATATATAGATAGATAGATATTTATGTATATCTAGATAGATAGATAGATAGATAGATAGATCTCCCATTGGTTTTGTTCTTCTGGAGAACCCGGACTAATACAATCATGTTAAACAAAAACAGGTCAGAATTCATCTATTCATCCGTGTGTCCTAATGCTCCATATTCCTCACACACTACTTCAGAACAGCATAAAGACCCTGATGTCAGCCCCCTCCCCTGTGCTCTCTATGCTCAACTTTTGTGAGTTGATAAACATATTCATGAAAATGTTTAGTTCAAAATTATTATAAAAAGGAGGTCTATGTTTTCAGTTTACATTTTAAAAAAATATTTAAAATATATTATTATTTAAGGGGTTCAATGTCTTTAAACCACTTAAATCTAAGACAACTGACATGGAAAACTATTTTTAAAAATGTGCCAAGTAACATGTAAATAATTAACCAGTCGTGGAGCCTGGAATATAACTCAGGTCTTCTGATTCCGGATCCTGCTCTTCCAAGGCCAATGAGAAGACTGAGCTGCCATCACTGCTGGCCTGGCCATTGTGTCTGCCTTGCCGAGAACCTCCAGAAGGGGAAATGAGTGGAGCTGTAAAAGCCCCTATGAAACTCTTGTAGGCATGGAATTCATATTCTAAATATTTTCAATGAAAATAGTAGCATGAGGATTTCTAGAAATTTTTTCATATGAAAAAAGTAAAAAGCATTGCCCTTCATGGCTATTTTTGGTCAATCAACATAAGCCAAAAAAATAAAAAAAACTTTAAAAAATGGAGCATATACTCTTCACCAAATATCTATAAACAAAACAAAGCATTCCCAGTAATGAACAATGGTAGAACCAAATGTATCCTCACCTTCAGATTGTATTGTAAAGCAAATGTATGCATATGCAAAAGAAAAAACATAAAACACTTTTAAACACCCACCTACTGCAGTAAAAGAAAAATCCAGCATAGTCCAAGCATATGCTTTAATATACTAAATACTGTTACTCATAACTTATTATAAGATGCCTATGAGGTCATCATTATTAGCCTTATAAAGTTTTATTTAATATATGTAATTAAAATTAATTAAATTCTTTTCTTTCTATAATCAAAACCTTGCTCCTCCAGTGCTTCCAATTAGTTTACATTAGCAAGACTTTGATCATCATCAAATGCCAAAACAA